TGCGCCAAATGCGTTCTAATTAAATATGCGCATGTCATTGGTCAATTCCGGGCTCAACGATGACGTCAGAAGGAATGACCATATAAAGAACGTCGGTCAAATTTGGCCGACGAACACTGATTGGCGCGGTGAGTTCACAGGTTTATTTTAGTTTGAAAGAGTGAAGACGAAGCTCTCTTTTAAGAAGTGAAGTCAAACGAATGCAAAGGGTATAAGGGAATGGAATGTTACATACAAACAATCAATTCTTCTCTAAAGATCATCTTTATATTTTAACTATCATTCTTCAATTCCAATAAATGACTGTTAATGTAGTAAGTCGTGTAAAAAATGGTATTGTCATTCCTTGAACAAATCTGAATAGTTGTGTCTTGGTGACCATGCATGAAGTGGTAAAAATCATATGATATACATTTAAAATGTATGATTGATCGACCCGACTTTTCTCACCTGCATTTTCATTTGTGTGTTATAATCTCCCTAAAAGGTATTCTGAACCCAGCTTTCAGGATTCAGCATTTGTAACAAGCCTGACAAATTCAATTGTCGTTCTTCATTCATGTTAATGGATATAAAAGATTGATTTGGAGGGAATCATCTTCAGTGTGTGTTCTACTGTACTTCTGGTAATGTTCGCTTGCTACTATATTTTGACATTTTTGAGCTTTTTTTTTAATTTCACAGCATTTAATTTTCACATATTTGTGACTTCTCACAATTGTATTAATTAAAATTAAAATTCTCCCAAAGCTCAAGAAGCGCGAAATATAGTAGCAATATTGTGTTACTGAACTAATTAAGTAAAAAATTAATAAAGAGAAGACAATATTGAATATCTAGGAAATGGTTGTGCTGTCATTATTATTGACCTAGTTATTATATTTTATAGTCCCCTAGAATAGGGGAATAGGATGTTGTTTGGCCTTGGTAATGATGCCAGTGTTATTTTGGTGGTGAGCTTTTGCTTATAATTAGCATAATCAGCTGATAGAAAATTTCTTACCAATAATTCAATTATTCTGTATCAATACATTTCAGGTATAAAGAAAAAATTCATAAATCTGATTCTCTTTTGTAAGTAATAGTGTTTTTTGAGGCAGTTCTCTCTGCCAGTCTTGAAAAAGACTGTGATGTTTTTTAAGGCAGTTGTCTCTGCCAGTCTTGAAAAAGACTGTGTTGATTTAGGCAGTTGTCTCTGCATGTCTGTTTAGGCATCCCTGAATCCTACGAACTCATATAGCTCCTCAAATTGTTCTGGAGGTGGATGGTGAGCTCTGATGCAACACACTGCACATGATGGAAGGGGGACCCTGACTTGCGGACCAAGAACACCCCATCCAGCTGAGGCAAGTTGTCTGTAACCAATGTGACGCAAGCGCCTGGACAGTTCTCCGTTGAATGGCTGGTTGTACTGCTTACGGTAGGTTTTCCAGGCACTTTCCAAAGTCCACCTATTGATGCAGAGTCCATGAAAATTAGGATTTTCTGTTATGCATCCTGGAAGGGTAGAGCACTCCCCAATATTTACAGACTCCATGTTCAGTTTGGACATCTGGGGAATGTGTTTGCAGCAAATGTTCTCATCAGCTATGTCCATTGGTTGGCAGTTGCCACACGAGCACCAGGACTCTAGATCAGATGGATCACCGGGGGGATCATACCGGTCACTAGGCCTAGATCTAGTTGTGGAATTTTGGCCCTCGGTCTCCAGTTGATTTTTCTTACTTTTTTTCTCAGTAATTTTCTGGGCAGTTCCAGCTTCTGGCTCGAATTGACACATGCTGACGGTGTTTCCCGAGCTGTATAGTTCATCTTCAAGCTTGGTTCTTTCAGACAGTGATTCGAAGTCTGAATTTACTTCAGATTCTGAGCTACTTGAACTGGACGAATTATTTCCCATGATGGCCAGAATTTAGTAACTGGTAAGGGCAAAATTGCATTGTTCTACAATATTTTCTTATAATACACTCAATAATGCAAAGTTTTGGTAGATGATCATGATAATATTATTATTGAGACAAAATATACGTTGAGAAGACTTTATACTTTAGAAATAATTGAGATTTTATTCGCATCTTGACATAGGAAAAATCACTTCCGGGTATGAATATTTTCTAATTCTGGATGTTTGAATCAAATTTACGGTTGCAAATCGCAATCTAAATAAGATTGAAATGTAAATAGTCAAAGTTTAAACGATTTCAACTTGTTTTAATGCGAAATGGTTTTGTTTAGTGGTAGTTTTTGGAGGGTAAGTGAACGTTTTTAACTTGCCCAATAACAATTCGAGTCCCGCCTTTGCATACGTCACGTGGTCACGTGTAACAACAAAGTGAGAATTTCACCTACTCAAAACACGTGCTTCGAAATAACAGCAAAACGGGACATATTTTTTCTATTTAAAGTACGTTGTTGGTTCAACTTTGTTTTCTGTGTTACCCATACAGCATAAACGAATCACTAGAAAGGTATTTACGTGAAAAATAAAGTTTAAACTGACATCTTTAAAGTGTATCATTTATAACCAGTATCAAAATCTACAAGATTTACAGTATCATTCTGATACATTGGTACTCTAAAGTAAACAACTGGTATATAATAAGTACAATTAACTGATCAATAAAATGATACAAAATGTATTTATTTTGCAGGTAACATGAAAATTCAAGGTAAAAGTATTGGTATATTGGAATATTACAGACACAGTCGTGTTGATTTAAGAAAAACATCAATAAGTTTTAGAGCACTTAGACCCACAACGGAGGATTTGTTCATTTTAAATCAAATCTGGCTGTTCTAGTATGGCTATCTAGCTATCAAGCTTATAGGCTATGTTATGAAACCCACATACTCCCTCTTGAAGGACAGCCGCACAGCTACTGCTTCCACCCCATTGTGTGTCTAAGTAGAGCAGGGAAATGAAATTCAGTATAATATTAATATTTCTGGGTATATGTCAATTGTTCTTGTGTACGAAGCAAAGATTCACATCAACCAAATACTTCTAATTCTTGACATTTTTCTCATTGCTTCTCAGCCAAATGCTTAATTGTGATTGAATAATTCATCAGTTCACCCGCCCTTTCAAGATTACAAACTTATGTTTCAAATGTTTCAAAGAATGATGGAGGTCAATGCTTAAGTCAATGTCAACAATTTAACCTGGGTCGCTAAACATGACAAGACATGAGATATAAAGAAGTAAACAAAGACCTTAACAAAGCACATATATAGTATAGAATGTAATAAGCCTGACATGAAAATTGACTTTCCCAAGAAAAACACTGCTTATTTTCAGGTATCTGTGACTTCAACCATACACTGGATAATTTTATTCAGCTATTGTTTATTCTTAGAGCTAAGGTTGTTTATTCAAAAACTCAAGTTTCTGTATGACTCCAGATATTCAACAATTGATCTCCTTTGGTATTTATTTGATCCCAAGGGAGAACTACTCAAATGGTTGGCTGGCTTAAAGCTGAATTTTGTATAACTTTAGCCTTTTGAACGATTGCTTGAGACATCTGATATAAAGTATTAGAAAATGTATAATATATAATAGCGTAATAATGGGGTGGTCAAATCTGAATGGAAACTAATCCTACTTATAATCTTGTTTACTTACATTAAATGTTTCCATTAGGTTGATTTAATTCATATTCATAGAACTCATTATTCCTATGGTATACATATATCTGAAGACCTTTTATAGAATCTACATGATGGTAATATTTAAGTGATATAATACTCAGAGACATGTTCATGTCCATGATATACTACAACAGAATTATGTATATTATCTATTTCAGACAGACCTAAACTGAGCAATGGTTTCATTAGAATTTCTGACAACATTCAATAAAATTAGACTCTAACATAAGAAATAACATGTACATGTAATTGGTTATTATAATTTAACCGTAGCAAAATTCCTGAAAATAATGGCTGACTTCATGAAAAAAGAGGAACTCTCTTGACGCTGATTAGCTTGCTTCGTATGAAAACCCGAGATGGACTTCCTGTACTACATGCCTAGTGGGTCAATGTTAGAGAGTTTTCTTCACTTTATTCACCTTAATTTATGTACACATTCTCCATGATTTTGATGGAACCAATAATCAATGCCAAAAGATTTCATTAAATCTGACTTCAAAACACTAGACATGAATTACAAACATTGACCATTACAAACATGAACATTTGACCATGACTTAGACAATTTAAAGTATGTTTGATGAATGTGTAGTGTAAATGTAAAATAAGAATATGGTATCAATTTAATGCAATGGCAATTTGTCATCAATAATACAACACACTGATATCATGAGTTCAAACTATCAATTTTCTTTAAAACGGAAAGAAAGTATGCTCTTTGGGGAGCAAGTCAGCTTGGAAAATAAACTTTGTGTATTTGTTTTACATGATAAGCTGAAAGACAATCATGTTCAGTTTATTCCAAACATTGCAAGTATAGAAATTATATAACATCCATAGACACTGACATTCTATGGTAATAATGTAACAAATATAGCAGGTACCACTGGATAATTGGAACCATCCAAGTCATGATTTTTATAGGGATACATGTGGTTTTTCATTCACATTACAAGAGTAGCAGTCAAGGAGATATAGCGGACACCTAGTGTGTAATGTAAGAGACATACCACAGGAAACTACACCCATTCACTCTTATTATAACGATATTGTATTTTTCATGGGTAGACCTTGTAACATTGATTTATAGATCATACAATTAAAGGTAATCAAAATCAACAATAAAAACACATTTGTCATACCTTAACAGATATAAATCCCATTACTGTTAAGTAATATTCTCTATTATTCATAGTGCAAATTATGCATGTAAAAAATGCATGTAAAGATACTCAAATCAAATATTGTCTGTTTCTCAAAGTCCGTGTAAGGAGGGACCACATGTCTGAGGAAATACTAAAATCATGAAGGAAATCATTAAGGAGAAATAATAGTTTGATACTTACTCATCTCTTGTTCTGCAGGATTCTAACTGCTTGCTGCTGAGACTTATTCCTGGAACCTGCATGTTCTTTAGGTCTAAGCTGAACACATTCTTGTCAAGAGGAATGGGCTCTAAAAATATACATCATTCTTGTTGTAATTTCCACAATGAATCTCTGAAAACAGTAATACCACTCACGATTTTAAACCAGAGTGAGATATTGCAATGCATCGTTCATCACTGAAATATGAGCGAACAATCGTCATGACACTGTTGATGAGCAAACTGACACTTGAGGTGTGACTTAAACTTGGTTTGAATAAGATGTCTATAAAACACTCTTATGTACAAGACTGTATTAGGCGCAAAGTACAGATAGTACAGAGTGGGAGGTTCTCCATGATCTAATAGGAATTTTTCAGTATTATGGGGAATCTCCCACTATCTGTCACTCTGTGTACATCTAGGCCTAAGCTTAGCCTGCAAAACAAAATGGACAAACTCAGTAACTCACCCAATGAATTGTTCATGCTCTTCTTGGAGTTGTGGCTAGTTTGTCTTTTCCTTCTTATCTCTACTGTTTCTGCAAATACGTTAGGTGCACTGTGTCGAGTCCTTTGTGTGGGCAGAGGGAAACATTGTTCATATTTTAATGTTATAATACTTGGAGATCTAACTGTATTTGCTGATCCTGCAGAATTCAAATTGTTTGGCCAAACTGGAGAAGCGCTTCTTTCACGATTTTTAGCAACAGCAAACTCGGAACTACTTTGAATAGATGCCCTACCAGACCACCAATCTCCCTGCATCTTGTATGAATGAGTAAAAATAACATAGAGGCATAATTCCCGAGAAATAATGAGTCAAAAGTCGATCTCGGAAAATATTTCTTCTTTCCAGGTTTGTGCCGAAGAACCTTGTTTACAAAAAATATTATTCCGCGTATAAATTAAACCGGCAGTATCGATCGCGATAGACACAATTTGGTCTTTACAAAATTACAATATGAACCCAACCCATTCACACTTAATAGACAATTTTGTATTATATCATATTTATTGAAATTAAAGACTTACTAAAGCTAAAGATTTGCAGTTTGCACTATTTATCATATTTATCGTCTGCATATCAATCCGCCTATAATTCAATTTGGGGATCTGTCATTCTCTACTACTAGTCTTGGACACTGATCTTGGTGTCTCCCAAGAATAACAGTTAACCTAATACTTACCCGTCTTTCTTAATGAGCATAAACTAATTAAGAAAATAGGAGCTATGGAGAAATAAACCATGGACATGATTCTGACTGTTCCAACTCTCCAAGTGAGGCAAATAAATAAATTAAAACCTGTTTTTCCCCCAATTGATGTCCAAACTTTTTTAGCAGATTACTTCTGCCATCTGTTTATCAGCTTTGTCACTGAGCAATGAATTGTATTGTATTCCCATTGCAAATAAAAGAAGTGGCTTGTTTACATACCACTTCGTCCAAAATAAAATTCCAATTAAAATACTGAATTTAATTTATTACAAAAGTACTTCAGAGACAATAGCCTTGATCCTGGATCTTAGATGAAACAAATTTAAAAATAGGCGAGGGAAATTTCAGATTATTGTACAATAAGCACATATGTTTTACTGATTCTTGCAAAAATAAATTCATATCTAAGGGCATTGAGGCTGGATGCCATACTCATGGAGGGAAGTGAGCCACCATTGAAATGTATGAAGTAATATGGACTCATTTTGTTACTTTACTTGGTCATCATTTTGAGGCTACATTGTTAATATCATGTCTGAACTGTTTAAAGTATTCAATGGAACTATGTTGGCTTCTCAACTTTTTTGACAAATAACAAGACAAGATGTTTATGTATTCATTTATTCTTTATTTATTTCTATATATCATAATCACTCCTCATGATTTCATTCACCACTTTTTTTTACTGCAACCTTTCAACAGGTTCATAACAGTGTACCATATGGTATTAAGTCATACAAGGCATTAGCATGCAAAATGTCACAACTTGCCATTTATTACAGACACTGACCACCAACCATCCAATGCCAAACACCAACTGCCAAACAACATCAAAAAACAATTGTCTTTAACAATATGTCACTTGTGGTGGTGACATAATAAATACTGTAATTTATATTCTACTGAATTGTCACAACCCATTTTATTTCAATTTATACTTTAATTCATTTCTTCAATTAAATGTGGTGTAGCTCATTTTAATTTGAGAGTGACAATATAAATATGAATTCATTTCATTCATTCATTCAAATACTTCAACTGGATTCATCTGTTGCACTGATTCTTTTAAAACACATAACACGTTAGGATTGTTAACCGCAATAGAAAGAGACCTTTTAGACAGATTTGCCTGAATTGGTTCAGTTAAAATATGCTTAAACCAATGTGCTATATACTGAATTCGGCATTCGCATATAGGTAGGAAAGGTGTATCTGATTCCAGTCAATCAGAACACAGTATTTCATATAACTGTTCTGCATTAAATAACCAACCCAAGGTCATTTATTGAATGGTTGTCAAGGTGACAACTTAACTCTACAGATTGAAATTGATGCTTTTCCAACTTGACCATTGCAAGGGACTTCATAAAAAATATTTTGCAATGAGTGAAAAAAATCTTAAGCCCAAGATTTGATGCATTGTGTCTTATTCATTCCACTCAGGCATTATTTCCTAAACTTCAAACTCGATGCTACACATTTCATGCAAAGGTTGAAATAACACCTTCTTATCTTTTCTTATTTGAAATGTTGCAAATAGCATAATATTTGACAGGATTTTTCATTGAAATAGATTCAATGAACCGTACACATTGTACCTTAATCATTGTTGCAAACTATATCACTGTACCCTGCATATGATATGATATATTTTCTTCCCAAGATTGCTTTAACAACAAAATATACACTGCCTACCAATGGAAAGCATATAATGAATATAATATCTAATGTCTTTGAAATCAGTCATTAAACTTGGTTAACCCTTGCAAGATCAGATCCCTTATATGGGCATTGGGCAACATGGGCATTTCGCTAATAATGGCACATTCTCATTCCCCCTAGTTCCTCTGATGCTTGATTCATTTCTTTTGATGCATAGGTACACATTTTTATCTCTGTGTAAGTTTATTTAAGACCAAACAAGTTATGTGCCCTCAATATCTTAAAACAATTATAATGAACTTGCAAGGGTTAATCCAAGTTCAGATGAATCCATTTTCTAATGAGTATATAGTTTTAAGGAAGCACACATCTTTAAATCAATGCACACTCAGAAATATAATTTCATAACAGATACATGTATATCCTCCACCTTTTCTAAACAAACATCAATAAATAAATTCTGATTTGACAAAAGTAACCTTACTTCCTCCTCAATATAATTATCTTTCTGAGTGTACATTGATAATTCTTCCCTCTTGCAATATATGCGTATTATGCAGTATTATATATCAGCTGACTATAATGTTTAACCTCATATAGGGTGAAGAGGTAGACTCGATGTGGTAGTCAATAAATGACATGACACTTATGATAACAATTATGTGGTAATGCTGCTCCTTTCTTTGTGTCCTTTAATATCAGTCCACCTATTGTGCATTAATGTATGTTTAAGTCTTGGCTCAAGCCCCAATGCCTACACACCTCAGACAAAAAAAAGATGGGCGAGGGGGTCTAGAGATTTGAAGCATAACTGACATGGAGTGAAATCGTTGTTATTTTGAGTAAGTTTTTCAAAAAGGGTAGACACATTTAAAAGCAGATATCCCTTTGGAAATGGAAGTTGGTGCATACATAATAAATAAATTAAAGTATTCACCAATTTCATTGAAAATGTGAATAAATATTGTGAGCAATCTGATTCTCATTCAATCCATGTCTTCTGGTAAGTCCTACTCTGGAGTAACACTAGTGTCTTGATTAGGTTTAGTTTGTTCTTTGGCTTGAGCAAGTCTTTTCAATAATGGTTTCCCATAAGCCCAATGTTCTCCTCGCTCATGGAAGTGCTGAAATGAAGGCAAAATGATAATAGATGGCAGCACATGCATGTGTAATGTCAGTCCACACAATAGAAAAGTTTTGCACAATGAGTTATAGCTCAAACATATCCACAACAGCATCTCGTTTTAATTGAACTACTACACATAAATCTGGTGAATGTGCATGGATTTTAGATATTCTGAGCTAAAAACATTTTACATAACCTCTCTAATATTTCAATTTGTATGACAAAGGTGTATGTTATATAAGAGCAAGTGGGGACGATTCGATGTAAAAAGTACATGTTTAGATGGATTATTATATAAACCTCTGGATAATCCCAATATCGCGAACATACTACTACATATAATGGATAATCTCAAAATTGTGAACCATGTGTTACTGAGCACTAACCCCAAAAATCTTCACTTAATTTCATGAATACTCATCAACGTTATTCATGAACCAAAAGTGCAAATTTCTTCATTTAAATGCAGTATCAGTGTCAATGACTTACTTTTGTCTCCCACTTCTCATCCTTTTCTTTTCTCTCTTTAGCCTCTTCTCTCTGTCGATGTTCTAGCTTACGTTTCCCATCGGTGGCAGCTTCCACATTCTTCACCTTAAGGTTTTTTGTCACTTCCTGCCACAACCTGGATATACAAATTGGATACTTTCACACGGTGGTAGAATAAGACAGTGGAGACAAAACATTAATCAATCCAGAGTCTGGAGTCGTTTCTATATCTGCCAGTTTTACATGCCTAGCGAAGCATTTGCATGGAAGTCAATGGAGCTGAAGGTCAGCTATTATTCCTGCATAGCCGCCAAACTTTTTTACCATGGCAATCTTATGATGCCATAATTCATTTCTTCCAAATTACACTGCACACAGATGTGTGACGTCATTGATATAATGTAGCCATGGAAATAAAGGTATGTAATACAACAATTATGTCCGTATCATTGAATATATGCCTTCGGTCTGTCATGTATAGACCTTGCAAGCTCGGGCTATATTGATGACAGACCCCAGGCATATATTCAATGATAGGGACATAATGGTTAAGTATTCCTTTCAATATCATTCACTATGTCTATCTGATTTTTTCAATTTCTAAATGACCATTTGGTTTGAAACTAGTTAAACTTTTATGTCAAAAAAATAATTTTTCGGTATTTTTGAAAAGATTTCAGAAAGACATTTGTTACAAAAAGAGCTTTCCAAAGTATTTCAAATATAGTGTTCACAATTGAAACAATGTCTACTTTCTATTTTGCTATTTTTGTTGAGACAGTGAAATTCCAAAATATTTGCCATACTGTACCTTCTCGATTCAAATTCTGTCTGTTGTTCAATCGGCTTGACCTTCTTCTTGTGTATGGGCATTGTTTTTGTATCAACAAATGACTCGCTCATCTACAAATAAATTATAGCTTATAAAACAAATTCAAATAATGTTCCTTCAAAACATGTAACCTTCAGCAGAGAATATATCAATATATGAATATTCATATAGATAGTCTTCAAAAATGGGATTTACCTTGAGCCTAACACCTGGTGGTTTTTGCTGACATTTACTGTACCAAATAAATAATAACAAGAGTGTGTTTACAGAAACTGTTGGTGTCAAAACACATTTTGTAAATTACTTAAACACCATGGGCTTTCCTCGAGATCATTATCTGTGAATGAAACAATACCTACCCCAGTATCATATTTTGCATACATCACTCCATTCCATTCTCCCTGTATTTGACAGATTGGCTTTTTCTCAGTTGGTGAAAATATTTCTCCTGTCAACCTAGCTTTTTTACCACCATAGAAAGGCTGAAAATAATTTTGAAATTCATGTAAAGTGTTGAGCTTCATTTCATTTGATAACTACAATGTATACTCAAAGCTATTCAAACATATGGACTGCTATTTTACCAGTTATTTTAAAAAACAAAGATTTTGAACTAGGATCTAATTTCCATGCATGTATTTTCAGTCTCACCAGACCTACCAAATTATGTATATGTAATAATTTATCAAAATTGAATGATTTTAGCTTGGATGCCTGACACATACATACATGTATATGTTTATGATAATGATAATGCAATGTGTGTGAACATAACATACCTTGCAGAGGAATTCTATATTAGCTGAATAACCAGTCTTAGCGCAGGAAATGTTCACCTTACCCCCCAGTTCCACCCAGGGTACCGTTAATATGGACCTTGAAATATAATGTACAATAAGCCAATGTTGGCCATGGGTGTAGCCAGGCATGGGGTAAAAGTTACCAGAAGGAAAATCAATACATTTTCATTCAATATTACATCTATTTATCTGAAACTAGGAAACTATCATTTCCTTTATAACTCAGATTTGCCTCACCAACTTAATATTGCCTCACATACTTTTAAATCCTGGCATAATAAAAGAGTTTACGAGTGAAATGCTTTGAATGTAATTATGTATGCGAAACACATAGTGAATTACATGTCGAATCAGTGAAGTTTTGTTTGAAAAAATATCTAATTATCGTTTTCAAATATTTTCCATAATAATCACATTTCCATAATAAACTGTAGAGAAGGATTCATGAGTTCAAATTAGAATTCACTATAGCAATTAATATTTACCTGCCATATCCACTGGGGAAGGTAACAATATATTCCTCATCATGGTCAATGACAGAGATGACAGCCTGACCTATCATATGTACAGCTATGGACAGACCCAGGAATTTAGATTTAGTCCAGATGTAACCATCAATAGATATCTTTTTATTATAGTGCTCTGCATAGAACGCAGAAACTGAAAGCAGTAACAAAAGACAGGACTGATTACTCTGAACATAGGGGTCCTTGTAATATAGCACATTCATTACGGACTACATACAGGGGTCTAGATAAGCTGAAAAGATTATTAGCATATGTGGCTAATATTTTCTAAAACGAATAACCAAACACAACAGATCTTATGCCCTGTGTTAAATTTCCATTGAAACAAAAATAATTGTGGCGTCTCATGGGTGAATTAAAAAATATTAGCCACTCTGAAAAATTATTAGCCAAATATTCTTGATCAAATGACATAAAAAGCATACTTCAAACAAATTTCACATGTCATCATCCCGTTAACGCTACTTTGTGTCAACCAAGGCCTTCTAATTTGGTCTGAAAGGCCTCAATGGTCCCGGCAAAAGGAAATGCTTACCACCTTCTTTTGTCTGAATTTTCATCAGTTAATTTTTTAACATCGTTATGATGTTTTAATCAATGTAATCATATTTCGTACATTTTTATCTTGATGTGAAATAACAAGCTATGATACTGGTTAAAGGTAAGTTACGGTTCCTCACTCTTTGATCTTGCTTTGATCAGGCTTTGTTACGCTTGAAATCACACTTTGATAAGCGTTATTACACTTTGATGCGATGATGACGCTTTAAATCAGGCTCTGATACGAGTATCTAGCTCTGTCGTGCATTGTTACGCTCTGTGAGACTCTGTTAAGCATTGGAAAATGCCGATATTGCCGATTTCATGCCACTTTTGGTCAAGAGCCTATATAAAGATGCAGCAGATCCATAAAACCATTGCATTTTTGACTCCAGAACACGATGGCAGAACAACAAGATCCAGAAGTTCCAGATATACCAGACCATGATCTATCTGAAGAAGACATGATGTGGTACTCAAGTCTCAGCGCTATTTATATGGATGGAGACAGAGGGTGGGTATCGTCGTAGGAGATCATAAAAGAGCGTGGGAGAGCATGAGGAAGCTTGGCAAGTGTAACAAAGCCTAACAAAGCATGTCAATCCTTGATCAAAGCATCTCAATTAGTGGGAAAGCGTAAGAGTCCTTCATGAAAGCGTAACAAAGCATGTCAGATCTTGATGAAAGTGTCTGACCTCGTGTCAGATCCTCATGCCAGATCGTAGCAAACCTTGAGACATCTTAACGAAGCGTGTCAAGTGGTGACAGACCGTGAAGACTGGGGTCCCCCGCTTTGAACCAAGCTCTATTAAGCTTTGCTACGCTTTGGGTCAAGCTTTCCTGAGCTTTGTTACGCTTTTTTAAGCTGTGATACGCTCTCGGCGCTTTAATCAATTCGTGACAGAGCGCCCAAAATTTTTAAACAGTTTAAAATTTTTTGGCGGTCATGCCGAAGTCCCGCTTTACTCCGAGCTTTCGCACAATCTATTACGACCCTGACGCTTTAATGAAGCTTTGTTACGCTTTGGTGCTGCTTTGCACCCCGCTTTAAAGCGCCATCAAAGCTTAACACGCCAGAAATCACCATATTATTATTCAAAGTGTTTTTAGAAAATTTTGAATTTAGCATGACAAACAGACAGAATGAACTGATGAATGTAACAACGAACGAAACAGGTTTGCAAATATGAGCTAATGTTAAATTTGCATTGACCCGAAAACAAGTTTTGGCATCTCAACTGATTCATTAAAATACCGTGTTCCCTCGCCCTGCAGGCAATACATGCTGCAAAAATCATTGAAAGATGAACAGTTATTGCCCTCCATAGAATGAAATATTTGCTTAATATATCAATTGTACATATACGTATGAACAGTATAATATACATATATACAGTGCTCTATAAAATTGTGCCGCTCTACTTACTTGGAGGATGATGAGACACTTGTTCGCCAATAAATGATACATTTTCTTTGGTTGCCCATGGAATAGGTCCATCTTCATTCTTTTCCTGAAATTATAAAAATAGTAAATATAAAAAAAACTGATACACATGACAGAGGACAATTGTATATACCACTCTGTTTAATAAGTCACACTAGAAAACAGCAACTCCACGAAGTAACAAATCCCACCAAACAAAACATGTTTTTATAAATAGTGGCCATCTTGAAAATTTCTTCTTGAGCACAGTTGCTTCATCTCGAAGCATTAGAGATGGTATTTGAGCTATTTAAGATTCCAGTTTTTACAAATAAAGGACTCACGGTCCTGTGCTCACACAGTGTAGAACCTTCAGAGGAATGTATATCCTGATTTTCAAATAAACTTTGAGAAACTTAGATAGTACAGTTTGTGACCTAGTTTGAGGACCTTTGACCTTGAACATTTTACTTATTCAGAACTCAGTAGGTCTTTTGTGATTAAGGTGACCAAAATTTACATCCAAATAATCAATTTGATAAATCAACTTTTTTGACCTTTCAAAGGTCACTAAAGGTCAAATCTCAAAACTGAGGTCAGATTTGAACTCCTGGCAACTTGTAGACGATTTTCCCCAAAAAAATCTGGTCAAATTGAAGCAAGTTGAAAAATAACTTATTTTTACTAGTTCTTGACGTCAAATATCTAAAGAAAAACATTAAAAATTTGATGCTGACATACATTGAGCAATATGTAGGGAATGCTTAAATCTAGTAATGATGTAATTCATTGCAAATAATGAACAAGAATAGGGAAAAACTTTGAGAAATTTGTCATTCACAAAACCTGCCATTGATGATATACATGAGAAAGTTCCCTGTAAATGATTCCCCTTAAGTCCTGCTTTTTGTCAAATTTTATAGGGTAAACACCAAAAACTGTAATTCCCAGAGCTTTGAAATCTTCAGAGGACATATGTTGCACATACAGCAACTACTACCACTTATTTGTAAGTTCTACTTCAACAAAGTGTCTGATATTTACAGAAAATTTGACTTTTTGATGTCAAAATCGGCAATTTCTCAGAAACCGGGTGAACTTGAGAAATGGCGATGATAGGCCAAACAGGCACTATTGATATGCATAAAATGAATGTGAATATGACTAAATACGAATAGCAGTTTTAATTTGTGCAGCCAATGATGATTGACTTTATACATGAGAAAGTTCCCTGAAAATGACCTACTTTTTGTCAAATTTTATAGAGTAAACACCAAAAACTGTAATTTCAAGAGCTTTGAAATCTTCAGAGAACATATAAGTTGCATATACAGCAACTACTTCAAGTTATTTGAAGGTTCTACTTCAACAAAGTGTCTAGTATTTACAGAAAATTTGACTTTTTGACGTCAAAATCAGCAATTTCTCGGAAACCATGTGAACTTGGGAAATGGCGATGATAAGTCAAATAGGCATTATGGATATGCATAAAATGAATGTGGATATGACTCTCCGAATAGCAGTTTTAATTTGTGCGGCCAATGTTGATGGACGGACGGACGGACCAACAGATGTTTAGGGTCTCTATCTTTCTTTCCTGGAAAATGAACACAATTGGTTTTGTATTTTAAAAGCGATTTCATTCAATTGCGTTTTTTTAACACCCTGTAGTTACTTGGTTGTGAAAATCCCCTTAATATTCAGACACAAAACTGACGTATAAAATTTAAATTCATAACCTTTTATTGATCTTGAGTTCCTTTAGTAATATTGAATTTTAAGTGTATGTTTCTCAATTCAAAATATTTGATAAAATATTTTTATATCTTAGGAATAGCAGAGATTAAAATCATAATTCACAAACTCCATCATTGATAAATATTATTCTGAGATAAATGAAAGTTTTTATCTATTTAAGTTTCTATCTACAAGAAAGATTGGTGGCTCCCAGGGACGCAATTTAATATTTTCCAACAATGAGAATGTCAGAGTGACATTATTTTCTGAAATTATAACTGGCTATAAATTCATAATCAACAGTTCAAAAGATTTGAAGAAATATCTTGATCACTTCTTGTGTGTTTTGGAATTTTTTGAATCACTTTATAAATGATTCAAAATAACTTTAAATCTGAAATGATTAATCATCACAAGGTTTCAGGTTTGGGAAGTCAGGTCTTACACGTATATTCCAGAAAATAATGCAATGACATTCAAAGTTTGATTTGTTCAGTATTTAGTTTTGTTAAGAAAGAACTTTTATTGCTCTTGATTTTGTTGATCAAATTTTTGCAAGCAATCTATTGAAAGCATTCAATTCACTTCAATTGTTCCTCTCTGCTTGCTCACTGGCTGCCAGGTATCAAAGATAAGGGCAGTATTACCTTCATATAAAGGACTGTAAGTTCATAGCAAACAACTCGAGAAAGGGAAAATTGATTGAGTCATTCAAAAATATATATTCAATATAATTTATACACAGATCTCTTAAAAGTCTATAGAACCTACATAGGTATGAGTCAATGCAATCTATTGAATATTTCATGAAAGCGGAAACCAATCAAATGTTCCTCCTAAGCAACCCGACTGCGCATGTCCCTAATGCTAGGGCAACCTGATCTTCAAACCAATAATCATAATTATAATGACTTCGTAGAAGAGAAAAAGTCGATAGAGACAAGGAAGGTAATATTCTAATACTTTTCTTTTGAAAAATATAGTGATATATATGATAACGTATTCTGAATTTCATGGTAAATATACAAAAATATATCATTTTGCTTCTAATTACTGAACACTTGTATACCAGATTAGTTCAGTTATCATTAAAACAAAATGGCGTTTTGGAGATTTTTATATAGAGACAGCTTTTCAAATATGATAAAACCATATTTTGTATGTATAATACATATATATTAGACGCAATTTAGCAAAGAACTATGCCTTTAATAGCTTTTTGACATATAGCTCATATGTTTATTTGTACTACTTGTTTTAGTTTACTGAATTATAAATTAAGCTTTCATAGTTTAGGAGGGGATTCATGGAGTTAATCACAACATGGGTAAAGCAAGGAGAAATAAATCCAAAGTGGAATCCAAAGAAAAGAGGTCAGGACATGAAACAATGCAGAAGATGTTAGTACCTTTGCTATTCTTTTTCATTTTTTCAAAAGGCTATGTCTTACATTTACAATCATATGTTTTATGATAAAAATATTTTGCATTTGAAAGAGTAATGCACTTCACATCACTGACAGCAACCATGCAATATGTAGTCACTTTTATAATACTCACATATTCTTACAATTACATGTACTTTTATATGCCCTTATTAATAAACTTTAACAAAATACATCTTTTAAACCATGCCTAACTGTAAATATATCTATTTGTCAAACAAAATTTTATCTTTCAAAATCAACCTTTCAACATGTAATATGCTTCTCAAATTAATTTGTTGTAGATTTATGAATTAAATCGAACAATGATGAAGATTCTTAATATGTTGACCTAAGAAATCAACAGCTATATATTCCATTCTATCACACATATGTAATCATTTCCAACTGATATTCAGTTATTGTACTCTAAATAAAATTGGGTAATAAATCATTTTTAAGTAGACATCCAATCTTTTATAGAAAAATATACAGATCATGACCTAACGCAGATATATTTTGTACAATAATTTCCGAATCTCAAAAATCATCATAAAATATGGATGGAGTAGGGGAAGCAGTAAGGCTCTAAGTATGGAATGTTTAGAGATAAATATTTTCATTGTACTTGGAATTTCTGTTTTTTATTTAATCCATTTGAAAATAATCTAAGAAAGTTTGATTATATGATCACCCTTGTTAAAAGTAATGTCATTCTCTACAATTTTACTAAATCAAGAGCAAATATCAGGGTCATGTTAATTGAGGCAACTTTTGCATTTTACAGAACATGTATTGTGTATTTTAATCATTCAGGTTATCTCCCGCAAATGAGGGAACTTCAACACTGCTGGAAAGCAAAATCTCAAAGGAAAGAAATGAATTGACAGCAAGAAATTATGATGAATTACAAAATCAAACAAAACTTGTTTCACTAAACTGGAGATTTCGTTATATTGAGATTTGTAAATTCTCAATAAGCGATCCAGAACTAAAGAGAGAATCAGAAATACGTGAAAAGGTTTACTGCAGTGTCAAAAGTAGAGACTTTAAAGAAATAGAACGATTAATATGGACAGAACGGGTATTATCATCACAGAGCATAGGACAAATTATTCTGGAAATATTAGTATTATGGGATGTTGCATATAATGACCAAATACAGAAAACTGGACAGATATCAGAAAATACCAAATGGAAACCTTTTTCTGAAAAGAGGATGGACTTTCTGAAACGCTTGTTTGAGCTACTTGGCCATGAACTGAATTTGAATGTCAAGGATCACTATGGACATACCCTTCTGATGTATGCTCTACATGAGAAGAACCTGGATGTCATTCAGTTACTGCTAGATAAAGGAGCAAACATAGATGAACAGAGTACAGATAATGGGTCAACGGCACTTATGATGGCAGTCAAGAGAAATCTCAACAAATGTGTTGATCTTCTGATTGCAAAAAAAGCTAATCTAGATATGCAAGACAAATTGGGAAAAGCTGCAATAATGTGGTCAGCAGAAGAATCAGATATAACAAGAATAGAGGAACTTCTCAATAAAGGTGCAGATGTCATGCATGTTGATAATGAAGGAAAAAACATCCTCATGTATTTAGCAGAAACCCCACATGCAGAATTGATGAAATGTATTTTAGAGAAAGGAATTGATGTTAATGCTATAGATAAAGATGGCAATACTGCTTTGATGTATGCAGCATGGGCAAATCAGAAAGCCTGCATTGATGAGTTATGTTTCCTCAAAGCTGATCCTGAAATAAAAAACAATAAGGGAGAATCTGTCAAATCAATATCTGAGAAATCAGAGAACAAGAATATGTGGAAGCACATCTCATTTTCTCTTAAACCAAGCAAAGAAGATTGGATATCTTCCTTCTTGAAAGCAATACAAGATGGGGACAATAGTAAACTGAAGGCATTATTTGAGAGCAACGAATCTAACGAGTTTAGCAAAAATGATTTTCCAGAGCTATTTGGAGAAACCACATTTACCTATGCCTTGAGGAATGGTAACATGGACTGTGCAAAGATACTTTTAGAGAATGGATATGATGTCAATGATCCAGGGTCATATGGAAAAACACCACTGGAATGGGCTATTGGGGCTAATGATTTAGACAGCATAAAATTTCTTTTAGAGAACAGTGCTGATGCAAATCTTAATGGAAAAAAATACAAACGACAAAAGGAAGAGGAAAATCAACAAAAAGAAGGGGAAAAACAAGTGAATATTATTAGGCAAAGGATAGGCACGGATGAAGGCTATGACAGTTTAGAGCTTGACTGTTATGAAACCCCACTATGGGCAACATTGAATTTGGATAGTGTGAACATACTTGAACTTTTGCTGAACCATAAAGCAGACCCAAATATCGAAAACAGTTTCAAACAAACACCTTTGATACAAACTATGATGATGAAGAAGTATAACTTCATGGAAGTCTTGCTCAAATACAAAGCTGATCCAAACAGAAAAGATGAAAGTGGAGACACCCCATTGATCATTGCAGCGATTGATGGGGACCACGAGGCATTAGAACTCCTCCTACGTCACAATGCAGATAAAGATGCAAAAGATTCTGATGGACATACAGCGCTTTATCATGCCGAGGACAAGAAGAAGCAACAATGTGTAGAGGTATTGACAAACTGGAAAGTAACAGGTAAAATAGCATTTTGGTACTTCAATATCCTTACCAAAATCCACGAACAGTAAAATAAAAAAAATATTAGTCTCCTCAATAGATTATGTCCAATGGAATCGTGTTTTTAACACTGATACTTTGGGGAGGCGTGCTGGACATTGTTTCTTCTTTATAACTGGCTTTGAATGTTATGTTTTGTAATACTTTTTGCTCTTCCCCTTTTGGCATTTGTGCTTACATATTTGCTCAAATTTTTTAATCATTTTCTTATAACAGATGATGTGACTGAATACGAAGCAGAAAAGATCACAGACGCTTTCGATGATGATGACTGTGACTTTCTCCTGAGGTAATTACACACTTGAATAGAATCTTCAAAAAGGCAACATTTGAGAATTGAAACACAAAATTATATATAGTGTATATATTTATTATATCATTGGAATGTTTCTCACTTTCTCATTAGATAAGAACCAATCACATGATTAAAAATATGAGCATTTATTATTTCCATGCCGTGATACTCATTCTCTCATTGGTCAATTAGATACCATGAAGTTGAATCAGGCAAATGAAATATGTCATGTATTGGAAGCCCCATTTAAAAAGAAGAGGGATAATACATTTTATGACATTTCAAACATGTGGGGTATTAATCCAAAGCTTTTCTCAGGATATGAAAAAGATACTAATGTTATGATGACTTTAAGCTAATAAATTGTTTCAAACATTTTGCATAATATTTTCATGAAGCAAAAGACATTATGCAATGCAATTTGTGTTTCAGTTTGTGATTTTACAAATTAATATGAGTAAATAAATGCTTTTCAGCATACCAGAGGTAGTATCATTTGGAGATGAGTACTCTATATCATCAAATACAACTGTGTTAAAGATAAAGCTTGATGATCATACAGAAGAGGAAGTTAAATACAAGATCAAGAATAGGCTTGAAAAGAAATATGTCTTTGAATTTGAAACAAGCAGAGAATCAGAGCTTGAGCTAGGATCCTGGACACGTGGCTATTTGGGCGAATGTTCTGAATCAAAAGGAACATTAGGCTGTTTTATCAAATCTAAAGATGGACAGGTAGAAACATATTATGCACTCACCAACAATAGGAACAGATGGCTGGGTATATGCTCATCCAGAGGAAAAAGAGCCTGTCCTGCTAGGTAAGCTCAAGTATTACATTGATTTCAAGAATGACAGAGAAAGGGGTAGGTATGATATTGCAATGATTGAAGTATTACCAAATGTCACCGGTAATTTCCTAATACCTACAGAGCACACATGTAAATGTAAAATAGTTGAGCCAAGAGATAATGTCTTTGTCAAAAAGATTGGTCACAAGTCAAAACAGACAAGAGGACAGATTATAGGAACTTCAATTTGTAGAAGAAGAAGCCACTTTGATAGTTTAACTAAGCTTATCACCAAAGATATTCCATTTAGGCAGGTAATAAGAGTCATAGGTGTAGACAAGGATGGTAAGGTTGTTGAAAGGATTGATCATTCTCGAGAAGTGTCTCAAAGAAATAGTATTGTTGAGTCCCCATCTGAAAATGGCCAAGATGACTATGACTATGAAATTGAATCTGAAGATGAAAGAGACTTTTTCCAGTCTGGGGATAGTGGGTCTGTGATTGTATCTAATAACAATAATGATGGCTTACAAGGTGCTGAATTTGCAAACAATGTTGTGGGGATGCTTTTTGCATCTAGTCAAGATGAATATGAGGGCAAAAAGGTTCGAGTTGCATATGGCTTTTCTCTACAAAAGGCCCTTGACAAAATAAAATGTTTATATAAGGTCAACTCTGACTTTGAGATTGCTTGTCAGGGTGAATTGTGTGGAGGTATATAGAAATGACGAAAGATGAGTCAGGAAATATACCCTTTTGGTCCGTCGCTTAAATGTATTTGAAATGTAGATGTGAACGAACGATTACCTTAGCGTGTATTATATTACCGTCTAAGATGTATCTGGTTTATAATATGCACCTTTTAGTGAGTATTGCTGCATAATTAACCTCCTGCTGTGAATCAAATTAGGTAACCTCATTATTATGTCAAAAAAACATTTTCACAACGTAATGTTTTTTAAATGTTTTTATCATGATGTACAATACATTTATAGGATATCCTATGATTTTAAGGAATATCATTTTTATCTACGAGGTGACATTGATATCTGCACGATAGCGAAGCGAACGAGCGTCATGATATCCTCCCCATATTGGTTTCCCGGAGTATTCGTCACGATATCCTCCACATATTGGTTTCCCGGAGTATATCGTAGCGATATCCTCCGGTTATTCATTTTGCCAATAGATATCAATTTTATTTTTTGATGTTAATTTACATATAGTACACTAAGTGTAGGATAATATACATTTATTATATCATTGCTAGAAATTGTGTGATTTGATTGGTCGAGTCAGTACCATGTGATCAAAAATACCATAACGTATTTCACAACTCCCTCAATTTTAGGAAAATAAAAGACGTATTGCCCGGCGCATTGCCCGCCTGGGAATTCTGACAACTTCACTGGGCAAAAATAAAATGTACCATTCAATGATACTTGTTGTAATTATGTTCACTTATGGATTAATGATATATTGATTGATTAAAATAAATGATCATAGGGAATGTCTAGCAATGATATAATAAAACAAATTTTTGATTCAATGTTCGGGCAATACCTGTTGCACTTTCAATGATTTTTGCATCATGTATTTCCCTCGCCCTACGGGCTGCGGGCAATACATACTGCAAAAATCATTGAAAGATGAACAGGTATTGCCTTCCATAGAATGAAATATTTGCTAAATATTTAATTAGTATGTCTATTTACTCAATATTTTAAAAAATCATAGTACAAATCCCATACCATTGCATATTATTGTTAAAATTACAAAATCAAAACAAGTTTAAGATCCATATTGTTTATGCAATGCTCCTTTATCTATTTGCATCATCAAAAATGATTGTATCCTAGTTTGATGACCTCCACCAATTGGACCTGGAAAACTATACTTTTTCAGACCTCAGTAGGTTTTTTGTCATTAAGCTGAACTAAATGTGAATCGCAATAATACAATATTATGTATCAATTGCACTATCCGTGACATTCATACTACCTGTATATCTACAACACACTTTTGGGCAAAGCCATTAGATTTTAAGAGACCAACTAGCTTAGGATATGATGTTTCCCAAACAAATGGGGGCAGAATCTTTGTCTTTCCTATCATAGCCCAAAAGATATAATGTCAAAGACACAAGTCAAGTAAATGTTTTTCCATTTTAGTCTCTCCCTTAAAATCTAAAGGTTGATCTCTAAAGTATAATAACAAAGTGGTTATTGTCTATGAAATACTAAACATCAGTGTACAGGAAATCTTTAAATTAAAATGTTATTGAATTATCATTTTATGTTAAATGCATTGTTTTGTTATTAATTACTTAAACTGATTGTTGATCAGTTCTATGTTTGTAGTCAGTGGCAATTACAGTGGCGGAAAACATTAAGTATTAATCTTTAAAATGACGATGTGATTTTAAAGACTGACAATTAAGTGTTTTTTGTTATTTTCATACTGAACATAATGTAATTTTATGCTTTGTAGACTATTATGCGCAGAATAACTATTTTTCAAATGTTTGGTACATTTCAAAATGTTCAAAAATACTTAGAGTAGCAAATGACATCCTAATTCTAAAATTTCCTCGGATCCGGCCTCTGGCCTTCTTTGCTCATCCATCATCATCATCAATTAAACAATTAAGGCACACCCCCTAACCTAGAATCCTGGATCCGCCCCTGGTAGTAGAACTCAATCATGTATTTGGGTGTAATCATGTATTTGGGTGGCTAAATGGATCTTCAAGGTACTTGTGTACTGGTAATTTTTTTAAATTTTTTCTAAATGGGTGAGTGTTCAGTTTTAGGATATATTAATTTAGTGATATCACACTATTGAAACATGATTTTAATAATTTATACAGATACATTATTTTGATGGATTTAATGAATTTTACCAAGTAATGACATTTTAACATATTTTTGTTGCACTTTGGTACATAAGCAACATTTTAGACAAAAATATACGAAAAATTGAAAGATAATATTTTTTCGAAGTGAAATAATAAAATAACAAGGCATTAACATGACAAAATGTCACCACCTACAGGGTATTCCAAAAGTAACAGGACTGGTGCTGGCATGTTGTCAATTTTGCACTGAGTGTCTTCAAATTTTCACAAATTGTACTTTGGAGTATTGCAACTAAAATTGTAAAGTTTAGGAAAAAATGATGAAATGCGGTTAGAGTTATGGTTACTATAGTAACATGACATTCCAATACCCGGGGCAACTTTTTTCTTAAAAATGTGATATATAACATTTTTGTAATACAGAAGAAAGCATCTAATTCACCTATTATAATACAATATTTCTTGTTTATTTTATTAGTTGCTTTGTTGTAAAGATGTTGCTATACAACTCAGATTCAAGTATAATTTCATAATGATAATTATATTTATTCAATTTCCTGGAATATCACTATGTATAACAGTCTGAACAATTCACGGTTGAGTTTTTGAAAAGACCAAATTTGAAGCCAGTCATCCACCTTGATAGCGCGCCTGCCCGTAGGTCACCATTAAAGACCATGCAGCTAAAGAGGAGCTATATCTTGAAGTATAAAACCATGCACCATACTCTTCTGATCATGCATCTAATTTTTTTACTTATATTGAGAACGGAATGCTAATCAGTGCTGTAAGACCTTTAAAGATGAGAATGACCTTCTCCAAATTGTCCAATCGACCCTGCGTGACATGTCCTCAAATGGGTTCACTCATGTGTTTTGGTCATGGATACAGAGTACTACTCTTGCACTGACCAAAGAGGAGCCTATTTGTCAAAGTAGAGGGTACATAGGAATATCAAATGATGTAAAACAAATGTAATTCCCACCAGTTGTTGCATTTCAACTTTGATATGGCATGAACAAAATGATATGGGATGTACAAAATGCTTAATGTCTCTGTAACTTTTTGCGTGAAATGTTGCCCCGGGTATTTCGATGTCATGTTACTATAGCAACCATAACTCTACCCGAATTTCATTTATTTTGTTGAAACTTTGCAGTCTTAGTAACGATACATAAAAGTACATTATGTAAAATTGTGAATACGATTTGTGCATATTTAACAAAATGCCAGCACCAGTCCTGTTACTTTTGGAACACCCTGTAGTTGCTCACAATATTATGATTTGACTTTCTGAGAACTTGTAGATGATTTTGAAAAAATGAATTAGTCAATTTGAAGCAACTTGAAAAAATACCTTTTTTACCTTGAGAAGGTCATTGAAGGTGAAATCTCAAATCTTAAGTCAGATTGAACTTTTGAGAACTTGGACATGATTTTGAAAGAAGAATTGGTCAATTTGAAGCAAGATGAAAAAAGACCCATTTGACCTTGAGAAGGTCATTGCAGGGAAAATTTTTTTTGACCTTGAGAATGTCATTGAAGGTCAAATCTATAGTCATATTTGAACTTTTTAGAACTTGTAGATGATTTTGAAAAAAAAGAATTTGGTCAATTTGGAGCAAGTTGAAAAAATACCTTTCTTACCTTGTTTGACCTTGAAAAGGTCATTGAAGGTCAAATCTTAAATATAAAGTCAGATTTGAACTTCTCAAAACTTGTAGATGATTTTAAAAAAATTGGTCAGTCTAAACAGTATTTGTTAAGTTATTGGAAGTCGTAAGAATTTGTTACAGACACGGATCGCCAACTGCCGATTGTCAACCACCAACCGCTGTCAAAAAAATGGAGACCATAACAATATGTCACCACTTTTTGGTGGTGACATATAAACCAAACAGGTGACCTATGATTTTTATTATCTCATTGCTGACCAACCCTGAGATATCTTGCTATGACATCATAATCGTTCGTATGAAACCAACCCCAAGATATTTCGGGTGCTGTTCAATAATTGTCACACAATTCGTACCAATAATCTTACCAAATATTGTAGGGGTCACTAGGGGAACATGGTTGGGTGCAATTGAAATAAATTGGCAAAGGCTTCACAATCAAATAAAACATAGCAAAGAGGCTGTTGATACAGTCCATTTTATGCTAATATGAAAACACGCCATTTTGCACAAAACAGTTTTGGCCAGCAATGAATTAAACTTTCCAATGTATAGAAATTGAAAAACCCTGTTGTTCAGTTTTGAAGATGATAGTCTATTAATCCCATTGAACATTATGTATAGTGACAGACAAAACTGCTAGCCATTATTTCTCAAAACATTCACCAAACAGGAGGAATTTGCACATAAAACAAAATTTATTTCATTGCTTTTCAAGATTGAAAAAATGACATCAAGAAAATTGCCGACCATTTTTCAAAATGACTATGAAATAGACAATCACATTTTTTCTATTTTGCATGAAATGAACCTCATAATAATTATTTGCAGTAAAACCATTAAATCACATTACAATTGTATAACTTATAAGAGACTGCTGTAAAATCTACACGAAAATAGCCACTATTTTGAAACCAGCAGCCATTTTGAAAATAATCTTTTGAGCTGAAATTCTCATGAGCCAAGTGGGTATAAAATGTGAAATGATATAATTCTTTATGAACAATTTTTCTTTATTCCAAACTTTTGGTGGAAAAACAAGAAAATAATATTACCTGGCAGGCTGGGGAGCCTGGTACATCGAAGCAGCAGCGGAATGTTTCTCCTAATATGGGATTGTATGGTTTCTTAGCAATATCACTACGTCTACCTGCGTGAAAGGCTGATAGATACCATCGAACTGTCTCTATCATACGCTCCCGTGGGGTCGGAGCATCAGCTATACTGAAGACAGATACACAAATTCAAGTAAAAACAAAAGATGCTACATTTAAGTTTACCTCTCAAAGTCAAATCATAAGAGGCTATTTAGTGCTACGGCCAAGGCCATTTGTGTCCAAAACACCTAGATTTAATTTGACTTTAGATTCTTGTAGGGGACCCCAAGGCATGTAAAAAAAAGTTTGTGAACCCTTGCAAAGCAGGCTCAAAAGTGCTGAGTCAGCAACTTTTATTATTTTTGAGTCGGAATTTGACCATATGCTTGAAAAAATTTAATATCTCATTTCAGGATGTTGCAATTATAATGAAACATTGTCAATATATCAATAAGGCATGTATGAAGAATTCCTGAAAGTTTGGGTCTTATCCAACAAAATTTGGTAGAGATATGGGAAAATTTGTCCCTAAAAGTACATAATTTCTCTTCAAAATTTCTTAATCAGTCGATAGTTAATCAGTCATTTAAAAAACAGTAAGGGCCTATGGTGTATAAAACCTGATTAAAAACTTCACTGATGATGTTAGCAAATATTTCTTGCAAAAGTTTCAATAAAAAGTGCATCCATCTATTTTTTCTGATTTTTCTCTTTACCTTCCCCTAAAAATTCAAGAAAGGGGGCGTGGCACCTTACACTTCAGTTGTGGAACTTGTTGCTAGGGTCAAATAGAAAATGTGTATCATTATAGCAGAATTTGTTATTCTAAGTAAATCTAAACACTATACGTGACATCATAATATGCTTAACATTTTCATTATCTACCATTTTATATTTTTTACAGCTTATCATTGCCATACCCCATAAAACTGTTTAGGGTATGTGTGGTCAGCAATAGGAAATACATGTATGTGTACTAATAACATTTTCAAAATTGTATTTCAGGTGTCATTCTTTCCTAATGTTGTTCATGTAGTTATGGTTTATGTTTATGAATGATAACACTTCCCATCATAAGTTTGGCAACTCGAACCCCTTTGAATTGTTACACGGAATATGGCATACATTCCTGGTTGCGTGGTATTTGTGATACGGGTAAATATTCCATACTGACCTGTGGTATGTGGCATATTCCACAGGTGAGTAAGCCATATTCCGCAGTAAATATGCAATATATCGATTTCAGTGAATACCCTATACTCACCTGCCGAATATGTCATACTCACTTTCGGAATATGCCATATACCGCAGGTGAATATGACATATACCACAGGTGAAAACGTGATACAGAAAGCCTTGATTTGATTGGTTGTGAGAATCGACTCTAAATGTTAAACTACGCTGGAAATCAATAAAGTTAGTGCGTCAAGTAGTAATATATGAATCCTGGATTGATTGAGTAAGTTTATTACGTGAGACTGGTAAGTGATACTTCTGCATAAGTTTATATATTCGATACACTGTACTGTTGATTCTGTAATCATTATATAATAATTATTTATAAAGTTTTACTTGTTTGTTCAGTAGATGCAATTGACAATTGCCTACTTCTGTATCACATTCTCATTGGTTAGTGTGTATGCCATATACCGCAGGTGAATCTGTCATACACCGCAAGTGAATATGCCATATTCATTTCGGGATATGGCATATATTTGTATCGTGTTTATCGCGTAACATGAATCACTTATTAAAGCCTTTCTATTTTTGGCATATGAAATCGAAGTATCTGAAATATGGTAATAAGGAACATAATCAAGGTTTAAAAATTGACAGACTTTCATATGCTATCATATAATAACTTCCAGTTGCCAAACTTATGGAGGGGGTGTGCATGGTTTATAGTATAGGGTCCATGTAAACTGCAACAAGACTCCTGTTGTTGCTGCAAATAATTAGCTATATAATAACAAATTGTAACAACAAATGATTAAGAGCCAGAGTTACTCCGAGCCTGATTGCAGTTTGCACACTTCGTATTGTATATATGTCATAAATTGTTTATTTGTTGTCTGTAGAACAGATGACGTATGTTTTGTTTATGTCAAAATAATAGACCTTGTCCATAGGCGTAGCCTGGGATGGGATTGCTCCCCCCCCTATAACCAATAAAAATATAACCATGAGATAGAAGAAAAGACAATGGTCTAGTAGTTACACATATCCTAATATGAGGTTGTTTTGGTTCGTTTTCCTCAAAGATCGCCTTCTTCTTGGGACCTTCTTCAGTTTAAATAAATAGGTTTTTCCCAGAAAATATTCTACTTTGGACCAGTCATGGCATTGGTCCTATATTCTGACATTTGGTATGGCATTGGTATGGCTTTTAGGCACTATTTCAGTTGGTATGGGAACACATCCAAATTTGACATTTTGGTATGGGAATATATTGATATCTGAGGGTTCAACCTAGGACCCCGCCAAATTTTGTACACAGTGAACCCCCCAGGATTGAAGCAGACAAGTAGCAGACAAGTGAAATCAGTCCAAATAATCACGCTCTTACAAAGTTTTGACAATTTTTTCTTTTTGACGTTTTGATGAATGTAAACAAAGGAAGTTACTTAGCTAAAGTCTGACATACACCAATACGACATGGTGGGACCTCCATTGATTTAACATTGGGTGGGACCTCATGGAAATTCTTGGACTTCATTGAGATTTGCCCGATGGAACTCCTTGGGATTCCTTTGGACTTTGCCCCATGAAGCCCCATTGAGTCCCATGAGATTCGATGAGGTATCATTTGGCAAAGTCCCACGAAGCCCCATTGAGAATGAACCTGTTCATCCTCTTTCCATTTGGGCATCGTGGGACTTTTGATCATGGGATGTGTCAGCTAACTTGGGATCAAAATGACTGAGACAAAACCTTCTAAACTAAATTACATTATTTCCGTGGGATTCAATGGGATATGGAGGGACTCGATGAGACTCCATGGGACAAAGTTAACATGGTCCCATGGGACATTGTGGGACTCGATATGGCATGGTGGGACTTGAAGGGGCGAGTGGGATTCTGCGTCATTGGAATATGTTGGCCTTGGACCAAACTCGCTTAATGTCACATATCATATAAGTAATATCAACAAACCCAGTGCCACGGAATTGATCACTTGGAGAGAATGTAAAGCATTATTATTTCCTTTGGCTTTAGGTTTCTACAATTTATGACACATATTATACAAAGCATATAAATAAGGTTGGCAACTGCAAGTTTTCATATGATGACATATCAACGTCTGTCAATGTTGGAACCTCGATTTTGTTCCTTATTGCTTTATTTCAAAAGCTTGATGTCTTGTTTAAAATTGCCAAACAGCATGACAAGCTTTGATAAGTGATTCAAAGGGGGAATTCCAGTTACAAAACTTATGATGGGCAGTGTAATTTAACAATTCATTCTTAACATACCATAACTACATAAACAACATTAGGATAGAATGGCATCTGAAATACAATTTTGAACTTGAATGTTATTAGTACACATACATGTATTTCCTATTGCTGACCACACATACCCTAAACGGTTCTATGGGGTATGGCAATGACAAGTTGTAAAAAATATAAGATGTTAGATAATGAATATATTTAGCATTTTATGATGTCACATATAGTGTTAAGATTTATTTAGAATAAGAAATTTTGCTATAACGATACATATTTTCTATTTGACCCTACCAACAAGTTCAATGACTGAAGCGTAATGTGCCACGCCCCCTTTCTTGAATTTTTAGGGGAAGGTAAAGAGAAAAATCAGAAAAATAGATGCTTGTACTTTTTATTGAAACTTATGCAAGAAATATTTGCTAACATCATCAGTGAAGTTTTTAATCAGGTTTAATACACCATAGGCCCTTACTGTTTTTTAAATGACTGATTAACTATCGACTGAATAAGAAATTTTGAAGAGAAATTTTGTACTTTTAGGGACAAATTATCCTATATCTCTACCAAATTCTGTTGGATAAGACCCAAACTTTCAGGAATTCTTCATACATGCCTTACTGATATATTAACAATGTTTCATTATAATTGCAACAACCTCAAATGAGATATTAAACAGTTTCAAGCATATGGTCAAACTCCAACTCGAAAATGATAAAATTTGCTGACTCAGCACTTTTGAGCCTGCTTTGCAAGGGTTCACAAACTTCTTTTTACATGCCTTGGGGTCCCCTACAAGAATCTAAAGTCAAATTGAATCTAGGTGTTTTGGACACAAATGGCCTTGGCCGTAGCACTAATTAGAGTTTCTCAGATAATTTCATAAAATCCTTCATATAATTTCTCCAAAGAATATTCATATGAGAAGTAATGGATGGCCACATTAATTTCTCAATTACATGAATCTGATTTTTATAACTATTTAATCTTCTGAATTATCGATGAGTGCCATAAATAGACTTTTCAACATGATTAACACACAAAATTTGATTTGCTCTCTTTAACAAACCTACAAAGAGAAAGTTGTTATATGGATCCTTACTTGCAGAAGAGGTCAGGATGAGCAAGGAAGTCAGAAAACATCTCAAGCAATGATCGCTTCTCAAGAATAAATGTCGGAAGCACAATTTTTGTGAGGTCCATTCCAAGTCGAACTTGCGACAAGAGATGGCTGATAATACTGCCGTGTTCCGAGAGGGAACCCACTGAAAGAAAATATCAATAACTGCCTATTTGGTTTTTTATATCTTCAGTGATGAAAATAAAAAAGTATGGTCATGGAGACATTCTATACAGTGTATACTAGCCATGGACTTTCAAGAGAAAGAAAGCCCATGGTATAGCATAGGAATACTAGGCAGTAATTTGAATCATTGATAGAATAAAATTATAACTGATAATTTAAAGAGAGTGTTTAATTATGAGAATGTTTTCAATTATGCTAAAATATCAACTTACAGTCGTCTTCCTCCATGTCATCATACAGATCTGAAACAATATAAAACACAAATATTTCAACAAAAAATTTCATATCTAGAAACATTGTTTACACCATACAAATATAATTGTAAAAATAAACAAATAAAATTATTGTCTTACCATCGTAATAATCATCTTCACTAGCAATGACAACAGGGGGTGTCTTAGGTTCCTCTGGGGAGTCTTCAACCCTAAAAGTACACATATAATTATCACAGATGTCGAGGATGTACCTTTGGCTGAAATCATCGAAATGTTTCCATAATATGAAAAATAGGTAAGGATTATATCGTTGAGAGCAGTTGCTCTTCTATGCCGCTGTGACAATTTTTGTTGAATAATATGATACAAAAGTAATAGAGCTCACAACATTTTTGAACTTACACTTTTTTATTAGTTTTATGTTTTTGTTTTGAAGGTGAAGCGCCACTATTTTCTTCATCGTCAGCATCAAAAAATTCATCCTCGCTGCTTGAGTATGACACTTCTGGTACATCATTCGGTCCACTAGGGGGCGCCAGTCCAGATGTTTCTGATGATTCAGCTGTTAACATGGCTAAAATTAAAATCCACAGAACACTTTTGTAAATACAAATAAAGGGTTCAAAAAGCCTCCATTAAGTGAACTGGTTAAAGGTTTTATTAAATAGAAGCAAGTTAGTTAAGTCATAAGAAGAACGAGAAAGTTATAGATAAATACAACATTCAAAGCAAAGATATCAATTCTATTAAAAGGTCGCCAAGACACACTTTTGTCACAACATCATAACAAAAATACAACATTTCGAAAATTTCTAAAAGAAAGTGGAAACATTGGTATAACAGAGAACAAGAAAGATGTAGGGAATTCATAAAAGAGGTATGAGATCGTTGGTTTTTTATGTTTAAATGGGAAATGATAATGTAGCCTCAGATTGATTCTATTTGATTCATCAAAATGTGTACAAATGCTGTGTTTTTGAGTTTTAAACAGATATTAGGTGATATCAAATAAATGATGATATTTTGAATTGTCATACCATGAAAACTACAGCATAGCATTAGTGAAACATTTATTGACACAATTTTGGCATTTAGACTAATTGTGATCTTTGTAGTAAAACTAAAGCAACTGAGTGAAATGTTCTGTCCTTATTCATTTCTGGGGCAAGGATCAAGATTTTACAAAAATATCCATTAATACAGTCGACTACTAGTTAAAACCAGTTTAGATGAACTTTCTGTTTTCACTGTCATGATATTTTTACCGAGGCAACCACATTGTGGACTGTGGAGTCACACTTTCCATCTCACAATATATACAAATACTGACTGCAATGTTATAGCCTTATATGGTGATGACTGCAATGTTATAGCCTTATATGGTGATGACTGCAATGTTATTTGGTAATGACTACCTGGGGTGGAGCTGTCACACTCAGAAGAAGAGTCAGTGGAGGTGGAAGAAAGAAGGTCAAGGTCACCATTTGCCCCGCCCAAAGCTTTGCTCTTTAGCGCTACTGTTAGAAAAGAACAGAGGTGCAAAAGGATGTCATGAAAAACTTTCAACACTTGTGGTTATTTGTGATTTATACTGCAACATAGTTGTAACACATTTAGCATAGTTCACACATCTTGAATATGTCTTATTGTATGAGCAGAAAATAATTGTCTATAATATTTTTGAATCGTTTTTTTTAGAAGAATCACATGTTGTTTATTACAAAATGTTTGTTCCACAAATGTTGAATTAAACAGAATTAAAGTTAGTAGAGCATACATAAATATATAATAATAAAGTCTATATCTATTGGATGTATACATGCATGAATTTAAAGAAATAATACATTACCAATAGATATAGACGAAAACATAACTAAAAGAATCCAGTAGCCTTGGATCTAGACATGGTATTATCCCTCCATCCCCTCCTGCCAAATCACAATGGTGGAGCTATATATAGTCAGGGAGTGAGGGAAACCACAAATGACATGGTGCAAGGAAGATTTATGACTTAGAGCACATCATAATTATTCTATCAGAACTAGGAATGAATGCAAGAGCTACAAAATGCAACTGCAATATTAATACAATGACAATGAAAATGTTACGCTGGAGATGTTTTTGTTCAATTTGCAAAAACCACTTTAAAAATTAGGGTGAGAAAGACTGTACATGTAGTTACTGTATAATTGCAAAGAAGTATAATGTAGAATGTAGTTCAAATACAAACATCAATATACTACATGCATACAAGTGACTCCGATCCATATTGGTTGCAAATAAATAGGGCACACATGCAATTTGGATGGAAGATGCGTAAATAAGATTACTCCTAGGGGAAGGGTGGAGATAAGACATTTTTTATATATGAGAAAGACACACATTAAACATGATCATAATATTACAAAAATCAGAGTCCAAAGATAAGGGGTAGGATCAAAAAGGTTATTTATTTTATGAAAGGCCTAAACTTTTTAAGTTTCCTATGTAGCTGATTATTAAGAGATAAAATGAATGCATTTCAAGACAGAGAAACTCCTACCTTCCTCTATATCAAGTGATTGTACACTGGTGCTGTCTGCTACAATGGGTTCAGCAGATGGACCATTACTAGACATTGCAGCCAATGCATTTTGCTGAAACATAATGATAAAGTCATATTAGTACTATATGACTACCGACCATCTTCGCACGCTTGGTTTTCACTGCACTCATGAAGCCGAGTGAACAAAGATGACAACCTACCCAGGAAGGGAAATTTGATTGCATCGTATGAAACTTTTTAATTTTGAAGTTTTTGCTTCTCAATAATTTATGGAAATAAAAGGGCATTAATGTGCAAAATGTCACCATCTGCTAATTGTTAGACACTGAACGCCTAGCACTGTCACAAAACGATGGAGACTTTAACAATATGTCACCACGTGTGTTTGAATTGTTAATCATAGGAGTAATTTGCACTACTTTTCTGTACCTATTCCTCAGAGATAGTTATTACTTTCTTACCTTTGCCATCTGTATCATCACAATAGAATGCTTGATTGATTCTATCATGGACTGAAAAAAGGAAAATAATCTAATTATGATACAATTCAGGACAATGTGATTCAGCAATTCATACAATTAAGCATATAATGAATTACCATAACGCATTCAAGACATTTGATTAACTATTTCATTTTTCAAAATCAAGAATATTTGATTAAAATGCAGCATATGATGAATTACAAAATTTACGATCTATGTTTCAAATTCAAAGGACATTTCTGTATTATTCTGAATATAACATTACAATACACCAAAGAAGGTTACTTCTTCACATTTCAGTGCTTCAAAACACAGTATATTCAGGTATTTCAATTACACTGGTATGTTAACATAGTATATTGCACAAAACTCTAATAAGATTTACACAAAAATCAATTTTTAGATTTTGGTCAAAGGTATATTTATATAAACAAGTATGGAAAATTTTGTCTATTTATAGTTTTTGTTTTGATTTCAAATTGTTTGGTGATAATGAGATCCATATTCTATATATTCATTACTCAGAAACTCAGTCAATTATCAACATTATTGATATCAGGAGGAGAGAAAACCCAAAAGCTTAGAGTCGGCGCATATTCCTTACACTTTCTTTATTTTGAAGGGAAATAACAAGCTATGCTATTGGTTTACATGCCAGAAATCGACATATTATCATTCAAAGCGTTTTTTAGAAAATTTTGAAATTGCCATTAAATTGACTGTCGATTTGACCAATCAGCGATGATGTCTTTTCAATACAGATTTACATTATTATATGTCATCTCTTCTATTCACTTTAGTATTCAGCTATTATACAGACATGTAGATATATATATATTTCTTTTATTGACAATTGTATCAAAACATGACACATTAGTCTATGTACAAACTAAACTGTCTTGACTCAAGACAATACTACACTATTAACTAAATGCTAGACTACATTTATAATTTCACTCTGTACATGTAATGTAAAATCATTTGCATGAGTTTACAGGCTCTTTATAAAACTTGATGCATAAAAGATGATAAAAAATGTATTAGCAGTGTAGCACAATTATTGCAGTTTATTCTAAATTTTGAAAAGACTTGTAAATATATTTGCCAATATGCCTTTGAACAGTAATATTTTGCGAAGACAATAGCATTTTAAAATTTGTTTCATTGATTAGAAAATTGGGTCCAAATATTTCTTTCATTTTTTCAAAGAGGACTCTCCTTTGTGCATCATGTTTTTTACAATCAATAAAAAAATGTTTTTCATCTTCAACAGATGTACAAGTTAAGCAAAGTCTATCATTTGTTGGAATTGGTTTAGGTTTAGAATACCGGCCTGTTTCAATTCGAAGTTTGTGTGAGCTTAGTCGAAACCTGGCTATTGATTGTCTATATTTTCTATTATCAAGTTTTGTATAAGTTTCTATGCAAAAGTCATTCTTAAAAGTGTTATATGTACGAAGTATAGGAAAGTTATATAGATGACACATTGATCAATTGAGCTATTTACCTGATATTCAAGATACAAAATTATATTATGATTATACAAAATTGCTGTGGCAAAATACATGTTTCGTGCCAATGAGAAAAGGATGTTTCCAAAATATTCAAAACATGGGTATATATCTAGCATTACATTCTGGTAAGAAATTTATAAACATGGAGACCTGTGATGCTAGAATATATCATGGATAAGCTTATATTTGCTAACCATATATTTTCATGAATTGTTCAGATGTACTATATATGCCTATCTTAACTCACATAAATTGAGGTCCGGAAAGCAAGGGTTATCAGGAGGAGACAGTTCCTTCGCTCCCTTGTTTATCATTTGACCTTTTTTATCAGTAATGTTATGTCTGCCTCTTTAACTCAGATGTGAGTAGGTAGTTACTAGTTTCCCCACAAGGTGGCTAGTGGTTAAATTTTCATGTTACCCTTATGTATCTAATACTGTATAAGTGGTAATTTTGCCTAATCATTTAAATTTCCTATTTCCTAATTTTTTCCAGGTTCGGAAAATTAAATGTCGGAAATATTGTCTTTATAATGTTATCCAATGGGAGGTTTCTTGCCATTAGGAAAATTAAAATTAGGAAAATGATGAAATTTGACCATTCGGAAAATTAACCACTTGGATTAAATACCACTTATACAGTAGTGATTCAAATTAAAATATATCCCGTAAAAGAAAATATTATCTGTCCAATACAAGAAAAGATTTTTCACTTTTTGTGATTTTATAACAAGGGGTCCATGAGGAATCTCCCTGATAAACACTTTTTGAAACCACATTTCTAGATGTAATTTTACATGTAGATTTAAAATATGATACTAGTAATATCTACTTTGAATTTTGAATTTTCATGGGGTAAATCAAGATTATTTCTACTCCCCCCCCCCCGATGTTCATCATTTGATCTTATACTCCCATTTTCTTCAAATATCAGTAAGGTCATGTCTGCAGTTATGAGACTTGATATTTTCATTAATTAAAATTAAAATCAAAAACATTTGACTTCTATTCTGCTATGGATATAATGAATCATACAATTCACGTAATCCAGCATTCAATTTTTCAAAATCAAGACCATTTGACAACAACATAGCATATAATGATTCATACAATGATAGAATTCAGAGCATATGATTCTGCATTATGTTTCAAAATGAAAGACATGTGAGTATAATTCAGCGTATCAGTGACAATTTATCCAGATGGTTTAGAATACTCCATCACATTTCATTGCATTAAAATACAGCACATTCAGGAATTTCTAACATACTGATAAACACAGAAAACATATACTGTATTAAACTCAGAAATTTACACAAAAATGATTTCTATATTTTGATCAGAAGTATATTATGTTTACAAATGTGGAACATATTGTCTATTTCTGTTTTTGTTTTGATAAAAACAGCCAAATATCAACAATATACAGTCACAACCCACTACAACTAGCCATAAGTTAGATGCATACATATGCTGACAATATATATATAATAATAATTATCATCAATTTTTTTATTTTTTCTACTTAAACAACTTGATACACTAGTCTTGTTAAAGTGTGAACTGATGTAAAATTTATGTATTTAGTTTGACAATAGAACTTAGTAACTAAAAAGACAACAACTATAAACATAGGCCAGAAAATTGCACCAAAGTGAGTGGGTCATTATCTAGCTGATGTGTCGACATAATGTAACTCTGTTGATATGCTTTAGATTTATGAGCCAGATGTCAATCTTGAAGTTAGCCTCGGCCAAAATAGAATAACAATATTGTGTTTCACTTTATAGGCTTTTATACAGTCTCTTCTAGATTTCACTTGAAATAAGACCATTGTATTACATAATGTCTCCAGATTTGATAGATAATTAGGATTTGGATAATGAGTTTTAAATTGGTTGACTTTCAAGTTTTAGAAGTCAAAAAGTGCAGTTAAGTTCATGTGTAGAAACTTCAATTGTAACGAAGCAGAAAAAATCCATAGATATCAGGTATACACTTTAGTATTCAGTGATTATACATGTAGTTATAGATGGCACACTGATCACTTGAACTATTTGCCAGATATTTAATTAATATTTAATTACAAAATTGCAGTGGCAAAATACATACCCTTCCTGTCAATGAGAAAAGGATCTTTTCTAAAATATTTAAAACATGGGTATATCTGTAGAATTACAATCTGGTAAGATAAATATATATATGGACATCTGTGATGCTAGAAGTTATCATGGATAAGCTTACATTTGCAAACCATATATTTTCATGAATTGTTCAAGATGTACTATATAAACCTCCCCCTTAAACTGGAGATGACTGATGTTCGGAGAGTGGGAAGTATCTTGATCAGTAATCTGATTAGGAACACTGCCTCCTTTAGGAGAGTAGGAGTTATCTTGATCAGCAACCTGTGAACCCTGCCTCCAATTAACCTCTTTTTAGTTTTTCTCGAGATCACTGCCATTATGACACTTAATACTTGTATTAATTACAACATTTGACTTCAAATCTGCATATAATGATTTATAGGTGCATACCGAGCAAAGTGAGCCCCAAAAAATGTTTTCAACAAATTTTACAAAATTGCTTTTTCTTTTTTGTAGGGGTGGGAGGGGGTGTTCTTCGCACCCATCGCACCATTCCCCCTGGCTACAACCATGAAATAACTCAGGAAATTTAATCCAGCATTCAATTTTTAAATCAAAAACATTTCACAAAATATAGTGTAACGACCCTTGGGCACGTCTGTCGTGGAGCTATAGTGTAACGAGCTTGAAAGGGAATGTGCTAAATTCAATGCCCAATGTGGGAATCGAACCCAGGACCTTCCGCTCGCAAAGCAGACGCTCTACTGAATCAGCCAAAGGGGCTTCCATCTACAGCCAAGACTGTAGTAGCGACTTGCTATCGAAGGCGTTATTGAAAACATAGTTAACCTATTCTGGATGATAGATGGCACATTGATCACTTGATCTATTCGCCTGATATTTAATTTATACCAAATTACAATGGCAAATTATATGTTTCCTGCCAATGAGAAAAGGGTGTTACCAAATTATTCGAAACATGGGTATATTTCTAGCATTACAATCTGGTAAGAAACTTATAAACATGGACATATGTGATGCTAGAAGTTATGGATAAGCTTACAATTGCAAACCATATATTTTCATGAATTGTTCAAGATTGTATATAAGCATCCCTTTAAGCTATTTAGGAACTGAGGTCCGGAGAGTAAGGATTATCTTGATCTGCAATATGGTTAGGTTCCTTCCCTTATTCAACATTTGACCTTTTACTTCCTTTTTCTTCAGATATCAGCCTTTTTGACACATTTTGACATTTCTTCATTATTAAATAAAGTAATCCAGCAGTTAATTTTTCAAAATCAATACCATTGGACAACAACATAGCACATAATGATTCATACAATGATATAATAGACTAGATGTGAGTAGAAATGTTTTGATTTCAATTGCTTAGGTCATTATAAGATGCTTATTCTAAATATTCAAGT